AACGAATCAACATCATTCATGTCAATTTTATGTATTCATAAAAGTACACAAATCGTAAAAAAAAGTTGCTCGATTTTAGAAATGAAACCATTGTCAAAGACCGGGACCAGGACTGGAAAAAAATTTGACCGCGACCGGGACCGGGACTAAAAAAAGTGATTTTGCAGTTCCCTAATTTCATGTCAGGTAACGAAGAAAATAACAGAAGTCTGACCAGACAAATATACATACTTATGTTGACGAGTAGTATTATAATTATAATATACAACTTTTTACATGGCATTATCATTCATATTAATTAGACGTAAAATCTTATGTTTTATGCTTAAGCTTTAAATTTAGCTGTTATAAATATCCTTATTTTTAAATAGAACATTAATCATTAAAGAGTATCTCATGTTAAAATCTATGTATATTCATTAAAATTGTGTTTTGATTAAACTATCACATTTGTTAAGTGAAAAACGAAAGTTGGACATGCATAACAAATTATACTGATAATTATTGGAAATGTTAATTGTGAAATGAGTCAGTTAATGAATCCTTGAAATAAAAATATCGCAATTATGATTATTACAGAAACTAAGCAATAACCAGTCAATTCAGTATAAAGATTCAGAAATAATTGACATTCACGTTGAAGACAGCCTATATAATATTCGATTTATTGTCAAGACACATCAATGACATGACCTTATAATGAGAATATTGCATATCTATGAATTCTTTGTTGTCTTTTATTAATGTAAAACTAATGTTGTCACGCAAATAGAGAAGATGCTGGGATTTTCTTATTGTGTAGACTAACTCTATCCAGGTTTTTCTGGAGAGTAGTAGTCAAAAAAGAAGTTTTTGTTCTCTTTCATCTTCCTCCCAAAGAAGTAAGAGAAAATTCCTTTTGATTATCAACAAAAAATATGAAGCATATTGATTATTTAGAAGTACTGACAGTTGTATTTCTCAAATCTGTAATCATGTTCACCAAAAATCGATAGGTATACAAGTATATTCATTGCCACAATGTCTATTACTTGACACTCTCGGTTGACGTTTTCATTAACATTGTGAAAAATACTATATTAATATCATTGTCTATCATCATGATTGATTTTTTTTAGCAAATTTGTTAATAATATTACTAATTTTGATGCAAAAATAGTTTACAGACAGAAAAATTGAACGATGAAGTCGAATAAATCTTTGAAGTATGCAAAAATTATTAGAAACCGCGAACTATTTCAAATGTTTTCTACTAAATTGATGAAGTTTGACAACTTTGAAACACATTATTTAGCAACAAGAGAATTTTCAAGCACTGAGTGATAGTGAAAAAAGCAAGGCTTAGCTTTAGTAAAAGAAAATGTGAAATTTTCACTTCACTCTTAGTCGGGTGTGGGTGTGGGTATGAAGAGAACACACATTTACAGCAATATCTACACCCACCCTATTGAAAAAGTTTTCGCCAACACTAGGAATGGAGAGTCATACTTGCAAACTTCGGTTTGTTGTTAACGTCCTAAAGTATTTTCATTCTTGTAATATTTTTTTTTTAGTATTTAGAATGAGATGAAAACTTTCGAAGATTGACAGTTATAACCATCGGTAGCACAACCTTTTTATGGAATATATATCCGAAATTTTACTTCATTTAGGAAAAAAACGTCGATTTTTCTTTTTCGTTTCCTATGCAACATTTTCTTTGCCCTTATTCGAAGACAAACTTATCAAAGACTAACCTAATTTTTTTCAAAAATACAATAGAATATCCTCGATTTCATATCTACGATACCATCACGGTGTTAATATCAAAAGTGCTACAATAACTTTAAGTAGTAAATCATGTCGCGAAATCTATTAATGTTTCCGCAACTTTTGCGTGTCGGTAGTGAAATCTATGTTTAGCTGTTTCAAATTATGTTATGTTGATTCAATATTTTCCATGCATTACGATTTGATTCTTTCGTTTATTGAACGTCAACAGTTTACAAACTAAAGGAAAATATTCATACTAACTTACCTATATTTACGTAGCTAATCTATCATGGGGTTACATATCGTCATTCAAAGTCATTAGTACATTTCATTCGAATTAGAAACGATTGCACTTATCAGTTTTTTAAAGTCAGTTTGATGGCACTTCAAGAACAATCATATTATGGTCTTTTTGTTTTCGTTCTTTTTCCATTTCGTCTTAATTGCAGCAGTATGTTCCGTATTGTTTCTTTTTCGAACACTAGATGTTTAGAACTTCAGATTTCAATCTTCAGTAACGCTATGCCAGTTATCATATACCCGGTTCATTACAGTACAATAGCCTTAATGATATAATGTTCATCTTATCTATGCAGAAACGATGACTTGGAAGCAACAAATGAAGGTCTATTATGAATTAACCATTCGTATTTTCAAAATCATTTATTTCTCGAATACCATCATGATTTCACAAACATTAATTGAACATCAGTACTTCATATTTTGCGATCGAAATTCAATATATTATATGAGTACGAATAGACATCCTCAACAAACAAATTCAGTAGGAAATACGATTCAAAACAAACAAGGAAACTTATACATACTAAACGTGAATTATAAAGTACGCGATCGAAACGAGACAAAACTAGATCTGCAATTCCAAGCTAAAGAAATCTAGATAGATTGTTCAACCACAATAGTTTATTAAATTATCCGAAAAAGAGTCACTTCCATTCGTAGCTATTTTCAGTTTCAAATCATAATAATGACATCGATTGTTGAAGTTTATGAAGTTGATTTTCATAAGCTTTAGTTTCCGCATGATCACGCTCCAAAGAAGAACGAACTATTTCAGCAGCTTGTATAGCATAGCCGACAGCTTCATCATGTCGTCCGGACTTCTCTAATGTAGCAGCCATGTTGCTATACGCCCTAGCCAGCAATGGGTGCCTGTTTGAAAATGATATTTCCATGATCTCAAGCGCTTTCTTCAAGTATGACAGTGCCATCACATAGTTACCGAGAGAGCAATGAACAATATCAATGTTGCTGTAATACCCAGCTAGATAGGAATGGTCTGATGGAAGAGATTTTCGGTAAGTTTCAAGTGCTTTCTCATAGTGTGACAGTGCCATCGCATATTTACCGAGAGAATGATGAGCACGAGCAATGTTGTTGTAATTTAGAGCTAGATTTGGATGATTTGATGGAAGAAATTTTTGCCGAATTGTAAGCGTTTTTTCGTTGTATGACAATGCTATCGTATAGTTGCCGAGAGAACCATGAACAGCAGCAATGCTACTATAATACCTAGCTAGATCTGGATGATCTGATGGAAGAGATTGTCGACAAATTTCAAGCGCTTCGTTCAAGTATGACAGTGCCATTATATCATTACTCATGAAATGATGCGCAACTGCAATGCTATTGTAATGTCCTGCTAAAATTGAATGATTTGATGGAAGAGATTTTTTGTGAATTTCAAGTGCTTTCTTATAGTATGACAATGCCATCTCGTAATTACCCATCGATCGATATGACTCGCCGGTATTTTTGTAACTCAGAGCCAGATCTGGATGAACGGATGGAATAGATTTTTGATGAATTTCAAGCACTTTCTCGAAGAATACTAGCGCCGCCGCATAATCCCCCATGAAATGATACGTTGTAGCAATATTGTTATAATTTGCAGCCATAGTTGGATGATCTGATGGAAGAGATTATCGACAAATTTCAAGCGCTTTCTCGAAAAATGACAGCGCCACTGAATAGTTACCCATGCATTAATGTGCAGTAGCAATGTTGCTGTAAATTGCAACTAAAGCTGGATGATCGAATGGAACACATTTTCTGTAATTTTCAAGCGCTTTCTCATGGTATAACAATGCCATCTCGTAGTTACTCATTGATGCATATATTTTACCGATTAACTAATTAGATATTGTTAGAAATGGATCATCTGGTGAAGCAGATTGTTGGCGAACTTCCAGCGCTGTCATGATATCTACGAACGCATGAGAGGTATTCCCTAACTTGAGTTTCGTATCAGAAATGAGAGCGATGAGATCAGGTTTTGAGAAATCATCTCTATCTTTGTTGTGAAAGGATATTGTTTGGAGTAAAATCGTAAGTATTTCGAGTGCTTTTTTGGAATTTACCCATCTTGCACATCAATATAGCTAGGCGACGCCATCTATTCGAAACATCAATTTCATCTCTTATAAAATCGGTGAGACATTTCAACTTAGGGTCATGATCACTGGTCAATGTTAGATTAACTTGCCACAATTGATGTTTGATTTTTTTGATGTCACTAATTCGAAAAATTGAATGCATTGAAAAAAAGTATTTCTTCTTCTGATTGGAAATTACCGATATCAGTTATTAATGCATAAGGTGTAGAAACGATTGACGGATCAATTTCTATTTCGAACAGAATTCCTATTGTATCAGGATTTAGACGCACACTATCTGCGTAAAGTGAGGAAACATCACGATCAGTACTTGTCGATAAGAAGTTGTTGAAGGACAAAAGACCAGATTTGTTTTTCTGTAATTTTTGAAAGTCAGTCTCTGATAATCCTTGTCCTCGATAAACGATTATATTTGAAGTTTGATAGTTCTGCGAGTGTTTCTGTTCAATTTCTCGATGCAGATCTTAAATAAAAAATCCCATTTTTGTGATCGTTTCACTATCTTGAATTCTTAAAGCTTTGTTAAGTGTAGAATATATAAAGTGTTCTTTTGTGTACCACCAGATAGGTGAATGAAGTTCGTAACATTGCTCAAATTGACGTAATGCCTTTGACTGAAAATCTTGATCAAAAAAGGATTTGAGGTAGAAATCAGTAAATTCTTGTCTTACATTGTGATCATATTTCATGTCAAAAATAATTTCTTTGAGCAATTGCATATACATAAATGATTGATCTAATGTATCAAAATTTGGAGAAGATGTTGGTGAAACAATACTAAATGGTGTCAAATCAGTCATTAGCCGACAAACATCTTGTTTAAGTATATCACAAATGGATTCGATTTGTAAAAAAGCTCCTTTAACTTTTTTGTATCCTTGTATGCATTCTTCATTTTGTGTTTGTTGACTATTGATAATATAGATTCTGTGAAGCTGGATAATATCTTCAATAAGAGGAATTATTGATTGACAGAATGATTCTGACAAAATCAAAAATATCTTTTCATCTCTGACATTAGTAATAAATTCAATACATTGATTTGGATCAATAAATATTTTGACCGAGTTCACTGCGTATTTCAATTTATTAATACAATTATCTACATCTTCATCCGAATAGTTTATATTTCAATTCAACCAAATAACAATAAAATTTTCTGCAATGCGAGATCGTACTATTTCGGATAAATTGTTTGGAATGTTAGAAGTTACATTGACACCTGATGAAGAATCAGATACTGTATTTGTTGAGTCTCTAATAATACTTGTTGAGCTCGATGTTAAGCTTACATCTTCAAAAGATGATACAATACTAAACTTCGATTTTCTCTCGCTTATCATGTATAAGTTTCGCTGCGAACAGTAACTTGTAGTATGAAAGATAAAAATCGATGTTATATTCTTATCTAGTTTTGTTTTTATTACAGTGAAACTTGTTCTTCGATACGAACTCTATTGTTTTCAGAAATAAACACTTCAATTTATACTTGCTCATGCACTATCATTTTTCCAAGTTCACATTATCTTTCTTATCATCCTAATGTACTCCGTTTTTACTGATAGTTTTAGTGTTTATTGTGTTGCGAAGTTGTAAAAAAGTAGGTAACAAACATCATATAGATAATGGCATACTTTTCGTTTTATGTAAGTTCACAGAAGAGATATCCGTGACGCTCCTGTCATCGCGACGGCAGATTTTCAGCCACGATAGGCATCTATGATTTAAAGTCTATCATAGTGTAGGAGAAAGATAATTTTTTCACTCGATCAAGTGATTAATACGAGACAGAAAGTTTTTAGTTCATACTTCAGATAATAATGCTTTTAGAGTTCCTACTACGATTTCATTTTTCATGTTTGAAAAAAAAAAACTATCATTACCAGACACTAACTTGTTGAAGGTACATATTCATAAAATAAACGAAATATTATTTATGCGTCGAAATTTATCAACATTAAGTAAAAAGAATTATTTTCTTCATCAATTGAACGATTGAAAACTAAAAAAGTCATAATTAAAGTACAATTCAATGAATAAACTTGTCTAATATTTGTTGATAGGTATTTTTTTATTTTTATTTTAATTAATGAGCGATGCACTATTTCTCAGCAATGTATAAATATCGATTTGACTTTGAACCTTTTTTATGCGAAAGAACGAAGCTTGGAAAGTACAGGGTGGTCCAAAAGTCACGCACCCGACAAAAAATTGAATATCTCCATTAGGGCTTGAGCAAACGGGGTGATTGTTTTAGTAGTAATAGAGGTATATACAAGCTTTAAATCCATAAAGACATGTCTAGGAAGACCCTTTGTTAAGTATCACTACTGACCTCAAGAAGAAAAATTTTACTTTTTCATAGTTAGAAAAAAAGTCACTTTGCCAAAAAAA